AAAATGTGAAAATTTCCGGGGAGGGTCAAAAATCACACGTCTACTGTCGCTATGGGAGCATCTGATGCATCCTCGAGTACTGCCTATACTCTTGACCTATCCAGTCCACTCTTTTTACTTTCTTCTGATGTGCCTGGTGTATCTCTGGTTAGTGTACCTTTCTCTGGGACTGGTTTTGGGGGTTGAAAGCGGAATATGATTGTATCTTTGTCCGCCAGAAATAAAATAGGTTTCATTGATGGAAGTTGTCCGAGACTAGCTGAGGATACTCCTCAATTTAAGCAGTGGGGTAGATGTAATAATATGGTCATTTCCTGGCTGACTAATTCCCTATCCCCGGACATAGCTGAGAGCGTTCAATACTCGGATACTGCTGAGAGTATTTGGGCTCAGCTTAATAGAAGATATGGTTCAGTTAGTGATTAAGGTGTTTGAGATTAAACAAGAGATAACATCTACTCATCAAGGGACATTGGACATTGCTTCCTATTTCAACAAACTTAAAAAAATTATGGGATGAACTGAGGTTTATGTGTACTAATCATGCCAATACTTGTGTTTGTGCTGCTAAACCTGGACTTCAAAAGGAGGAAGAGGAGAACAGATTACACCAATTCCTCATGGGTCTGAATGAGACTTATGTTGGTGTTAGGAGCAACTTGCTCATGATGCAACCTCCATCTTCTCTCGATACTACTTATAGTATCCTCCTCCAAGATGAAAGGCAGAGGCAAATTACTCCAATTCTCATTTCCACGGCGACTCTGCTTCTTTTCATGTCAATCTGAACAATAAATTTGCCCTTCCTAGACACTTTGCCCAAAAAGTCAGTTTTGATCAGAACAAGTCCCCTCTTTTGTGCAAGTATTGTAGGAAGCCTGGGCATTTGATTGATAAATGCTATAAGCTCCATGTATTTCCATCCAACTTTAAATTCACCAAAGGTAAACGAACTGTTGCAAATGTTGAGGTGCAAAGTTCAGTTTGTGCTTCTGAATCTGGACCAATTCCCACTAAAAGTCCTATTGATTCTAATTTTGTGATACCTGGTCTGTTCCAAGGACCAGTATGCTCAGCTCCTGATGCTACTTCAGCAACATCACATTTCAGAATCTCTCCCTCAGTCTAGTCTGATGGCTTCTGCAAATTTTGCGGGTATAGTTCCTTCCCCTGATTGTGTAGGCAAGGTGTCTTATGGTGCATGTATGCTAACTAGAGTCCATGAGTACACTTGGATAATAGATTCTGGGGTCATTAATCACATAACTTCTAAAAAGGAACTCTTTTTTGATATTCAGCCCCTAGTTGTCCCATATTTGGTCACACTTCCTAACGGATATAAAGTCAAAGTCACTTGCACTGGTTCTCTTCACTTTATTTCTTTCACACTTCATCATGTACTTTATGTCCCTAGTTTTCATCACAATCTTATTTATGTTCACAAGCTTGTTGCACAATTAGATTGCCTGGTTCTGTTTGGTAAATTTTCATGTTTTCTCATACAGGCCCATTCAATGAAGAGGCCACTGGAAATTGGTAAACAAGATCATGGGCTATACAAGCTTGTGCAGCCATGTCCACAATCTGATTCTATTGTTCTTACTGCTGTTTGTAATAGTTTTCCTACTTGTTCTTCTACTTCTATGTCTTCCAATTGTAAATACCATTCTCTATTGGCTGCTATTGGAACTGATAATCATTGTAAATACCACTCTGATTTGAATAAAATGGAGATTTTATGGCATAATAGGTTGGGGCATATTCCCTTTGTCAGAATGAAGGATATTTCATCTATTCCATGCACATTTTCCTCCAAACAGTCTTTTACTTGTTGTATCTGTCCCTTAGCTAGACAACCTAGACTACCCTTTCCTGATAGCTCCATCAAAACTTCTCATCCCTTCCAACTTGTCCATGTGGATACTTCGGGACCATATAGCACTCCAACCTACAATGGGTGCAAATATTTTTTCACTATAGTAGATGATTTCACTAGAGCTACTTGGACTCACCTTATGGGGTCTAAAAGTAATGCTTTTCCTCTGATTAAAGCTTTTATTGCCATGGTCAAAACACAATTTCAAACTTGCATTCAAACTGTTAGAAGTGATAATGCTCTTGAACTTGGGTCTGGTGCTCTTGTTGGCCAATTCTTTGTTGACACTGGCATTGTTCACCAAACATCTTATCCACACACACCACAACAAAATGGGGTAGTCAAAAGAAAACATAGGCATTTGTTGGAAACCTCTAGAGCTTTACTTTTTCAATCCAAGTTACCTATTAAGTTTTGGGGTGATTGTGTCCTCACTGCCACTTACCTCATTAATAGATTCCTTTCCAAGTTGCTTGCTAATAAAACTCCTTTTGAATTACTCTTTGGGAAACCACCTTCATATACTCACATTAGAACCTTTGGTTGCTTGTGTTTCTCCACAATTCCTAAGTGTCACAAGGACAAGTTTCAACCTAGAGCTGATCCTTGTGTTTTCCTGGGATATCCCTTGGCTAAGAAAGGTTATAAACTTTACAACTTAGCTTCTAAACTAACCTTTATCTCTAGAGATGTAGTGTTTCATGAGGGTATCTTTCCTTTTGCCTCAGTCTCTCCTTCATCTATTACTTCTATATCACCTTCTTCTTCTGTTCCTTTCTTTTTTGATGACTTTCATTACACCTCTTCTCATGAACCTGATCCTATCTCCTCATCAACACCTATTGCTTCTCCCTCTTCTTCTCCTATTCCTTCTCATGTGTCTGTTCCTGTTCCTGTGTCTGTTCCTCACTCTGCACCTATCCTTGAACCTCCTCATGCTCCTCCTATTTCCCCTAATCTGTCTCCAGCTCCTGTTAGGAGATCCTCCAGAAATAATGTTACTCATAGTCATCTTCAACAGTATGTTTGTAGTCTTCATCCTTCTCTATATGGCTCTAGTTTTTCTCCCTTTTGTTCTCAAAGTTCAGTTAGCATTGCTGGCCTGGAACCCCACTCTTACCATCAGGCAGCTTCTATTTCAGCTTGGCAAGAGGCCATGAGAATGGAATTTGAGGCTCTTGAGGCTAATGCTAATTGGTCCATTGTTGAGTTACCTCCTGGCAAGAAACCCATAGGTTGTAAATGGTATATAAGATAAAATATAAGGCTGATGGGTCTATAGAAAGATATAAGGCTAGGTTGGTTGTTAGGGGTGATAGACAGGTAGAGGGTGTAGATTTTAATGAAACTTTTTCCCCAGTCATCAAATTTTCTACTGTTAAATGTCTCATTGTTGTGGTTGTAAAAAGGAATTGGTCTATGTTTCAAATTGATGTAAATAATGCATTTTTGCATGGAGACTTGGATGAGGAGGTCTACATGAAATTGCCCCCTGGTTTGTCTGTTGAGAGTGTTACTTCATCTGGTCAGTCTTCTAATTTGGTTTGTCACCTTCAAAATCATTGTATGGTTTGAGATAAGCATCTAGGCAGTGGTATGCCAAGTTGTCTCATGCATTATGTTCTAGGGTTACTTCCATTCTTTGAATGATTATTCCCTTTTCATTAAAAGATCAGGTGGTTCCACTGTACTTCTTGCCATTTATGTGGATGATATAATACTTACTGGTGATGATTTGGAAGAAATCTCTACTTTGAAACTCTTCTTGGACAATCAGTTCAAAATCAAGGATCTGGGTGTTCTTAACTACTTTCTTGGCATAGAAGTGGCATATCTTCCTTCTGGGTTATTACTACATCAAAGTAAGTTTATCAAAGATCTACTTCATGAATACAATTGTAATATGGTGTCTCCTGTGACTTGTCCTTTGGATTTTCACTCTAAATTGCAGGCCGCCATGAGTGACCCTTTGCCTGCTCCTGACACTTATAGAAGTTTGGTGGGAAAGTTGAATTTTTTGACTCACACGAGGCCTAACATCTGCTTTGCTGTCCAACATCTCAACCAGTTCTTACAGGCCCCTTGTACTTCTTACATGAAGGCTGTTTTGCATTTACTTCACAATTTCAAAGGTACTTTTGATGTTGGGGTGTTCTATGGCAATTCTCCATCCCTTTCCTTGTCTGCATTCTGTGACAGTGACTGGGCTGCTTGCCCAGACACTCGCCGATCAATCACTGGGTTTTGCATTCTTTTGGGGGATTCTCTCATTGGTTGGAAGGCTAAGAAGCAACCAGTTGTATCCCTTTCTTCTGCTGAGGCTGAGTACCGAGCTCTTAGTAAGGTAGTTGTGGAGTTGAATTGGGTTGTTCACCTTTTATCTGATTTTGGTGTTGATATATCTTCTGTTGTACCTGTGTTTTGTGACAACCAAGCGGCCATTCATATTGCAAAGAACTCTATTTTTATGAGCGGACGAAACACATTGAATTAGACTATCATTTTGTTCGGAATAAACTTGGTGATGGCCTAATCTCCTTGCATCATGTTCCTACCACTTCTCAGCTTGCCGATGTGTTTACAAAGCCACTCACTGGAGCTATTCATCATTCTTTGTTGTTCAAGTTGGGGGTTGTAGCACCCTCCGACTTGAAGGGGGGTGTTGGACTTCAGCTTACTACGACCCATGATACAGGCCCACCGGTTTAGATAGGGTGTATTTATTTGTATCTTGAGTTTCTGGGCTAAAACCCAATGTAATGTAAATAATAGATACAAAAAAACAAAAGAAAGTCTGGGACATTCGAGAATATGACAGAAAATATTTTTCTCTCTCTAGTTCTTCTTTCTCCCATGAGCCCTAATCAATTCTTTTTCATTTTCAGCTCGATTTAGTAGTTTTCCACCCACTTGATTGACCATTTTTCTGTATGTTATGGCTGCGAAAAGTGCTAAGATTTTTCATAGAGTTTCAGACCGTAAGTATGGAAAAGTTTTGTTTAAGGCCTTCTGATCAACGTTGTTACTTCTAATGGTTGTTAAATATTGACCCATCTTCTGTCACATTAGGACATCAAAAGCTAAATAAGAACTCCAGTGATCAATCAAAAATAAAAATAAAAAGTGATCATAAAACATGACTGCTGATTGCAGATTACATAAATATTTACTACTTTTTCAATTAATTGCAGAGCAAAGTTGTCATCAACAACAATGTTGACGTATCAAGTATTTGCATTCAGATTTTGACATACATGCAACATAATTGAACTGATAATGCTCAAAACATAGCCTATGTTTTCTGCCTGATTCAAACTATGCTTGCATAATGTGAAGGAGATGTAAACCTCCCGAACTCTTTCCTTTCCGCATATATTTATCTACATGAACATTTTTTTCAGCTTGCATCACAGAGATCTGTAGCTGGATCACAAAATCCATCTCGATCGAGCAACTGCTGAGGTGGAGCACTTAACAATGGAGAAGATGGACTTCCATACGCATTTCGTCTGCTATTTCCACAGCCTAGACTTTTTCTGGTGCTAACCCCGGTCACAGGGTTAGTTCCACTAGCATACTTGCACAGTGCCTATGAATAAGCATGAAATATTCAGAAGATGCGGGACAAAAACAATAACATAACAAACTCCTGTTTAGAATAAGAAGATATAAGAGTTGAACATTTATGTGAAGAATTTAATTTCTCAATCTATTTTCTGAAGCTCCTATGACTTGTTCACCTTATTTCATTTGTAGAACTATTCCTAGTTGGGAATGAACATTACACAATCCTGCAACATGCTCGGCATGTTGTTTCAAGAATTTAACTCGCAAAATGTGGTTTCCTCCGTCCAGGAAACTTGAAACGCTTAGATATTTGCAAATGCTGAAACTGTTGAGTGGCAGAGCTCCTACATCGGTGAAGTACCAATTTTGGTTGGCACTTTACCCTATAAAAGAAGGCCAAATGTTTAGGATTTAGACACACCTCTCATTTACCTTCTTATCTTCTTAAGGCATTTGTATCTTATCTCTTTTGTATTATTTCACTTGTATTTTTGGAGTGGAATAAAATATTGGTTGTATCCGAGGAAGTAGGCAAAATTGGCCGAACCTCGTAAATTCTGGTGTTCCGTTTATTGCTGCTTTATTGTCTTATTTATTATTTGGTGGCTGTCATAATTTTTGGTATAGTAGTCGTGACCCATTCACACTATATACATTTGGCTTTCGCAACAATTGGTATCAGAGCCAAGGTAATGTCTAAGTATGCTCTGTGGTTGCAGCATAGTCTGATCTTGCACATCAGAAAAGATTTATCTTGGTAACTGAGCCAAGGTTCTGTCTGAGTATGCTCTGTGGTTGCAACTTAGTCTGATCTTCTACACTAGAAAGGAAATAATCTTGATTTGTGTCGTCAACTATTAAATAATATTTGTGTCAAAGATGGGAGACAATAAACAAGAAGAATCTACATCAAGTGTCAACAATACGTCATTATTGCATCTTTGCTTATGACAAGAATTGTGTCAAATGCGAAATTTGCGGTAGAAATATTTGACGGGTCCGGACATTTTGGGATGTGGCAAGGCGAGGTTCTAGATGTCCTTTTTCAACAAGGGCTAGATCTGGCCATTGAAGAAAAGAAACCAGATGTTATTGGAGAAGAAGATTGGAGAATTATCAACCGTGTTGCTTGCGGTACCATTCGATCCTACCTTGCTAGAGAGCAGAAATATCCATACACAAAGGAAACTTCTGCAAGTAAATTATGGAAAGCACTGGAGGATAAATGTTTTAAGAAAAACAGTCAAAATAAATTGTACATGAAGAAAAGACTGTTTTGCTTCACCTATGTTCCTGGTACCACGATGAATGAACATATCACCAGTTTCAATAAGTTGGTCACAGATTTGAAAAATATGGATGCAACTTTTGATGATTGTGACTTGGCCTTGATGTTGTTGAGGTCACTTCCTGATGAGTACGAGCACCTTGAAACTACTCTACTCCATGGAAATGACGAAATTTCTCTCAGAGAAGTTTGTTCGGCTTTGTACAGCTATGAACAAAGAAAAGGAGAAAAATAGAAGGGCGGAGAAGGAGAAGCACTGGTTGTGAGGGGTCGTCCTCAAAATCAAATGAGGACAAGGAAGGAAAGATCCAAGTCAAGATCTAAATCCAGCAAAGAGAAATGTGCCTTTTGTCGAGAAAAGGGGTACTGGAAGAAAGACTGTTCGAAGTTGAAGAATAAGGACAAACATAACAATGGAAAAGCCATTATGGATTCGAATGTAGCTGATTGTGATGATTCAGACTTCTCATTAGCTACAACAGAGTCATCAACATTATCAGACATATGGTTGATGGACTCGGCTTGTAGCTATCATATATGTCCCAACAGGGACTGGTTCGTGGATTTTCAAGAAGGAGAATATGGAGTCATCTACACAGCGGACAAGAGCCCTCTTAACTCATATAAAATTGGTTCAATACGATTAAGGAACCATGATGGAATGATCAGAACATTAACAGAAATTTGATATGTACCGGATTTGAAGAAGAATCTCATCTTTGTGGGAGCCCTAGAATCAAAAGGGTTCAAAATCATTGCAGAAAATGGAGTGATGAGAATATGTTCTGGTGCACTAGTGGTAATGAAGGCCAATCGGAAAATTAATAACATGTACCGTTATCGGGGTAGTACAGTTATTGGGACAGCGACAGTGACATCCAGTGACGAAAAAGAGGCAGAAGCAACCAGGCTATGGCACATGCGCTTGGGACATGCTGGAGGAAAATCCTTGAAAACTCTATCAGATCAAGGATTGTTAAAGGTAGTAAAGGTTTGCAAGTTGGAGTTTTGCGAGCATTGTGTCAAAGGGAAACAGACAAGGGTTAAATTTGGTACAACGAACCATACTACTAAAGGCATTTTGGATTATGTACACTCTGATGTTTGGGGTCTTTCCAAAATACCTTCATTGGGTGGGAAGCACTATTTTGTAACCTTTGTTGATAATTTTTCCCGAAGAGTGTGGGTGTATACAATGAAAAGCAAAGATGAAGTGCTGGGAATTTTTCTCAAATGGAAGACGATGGTGGAGAATCAAACAGGCAGGAGGATCAAGTGTATTCGCACAGACAATGGAGGTGAATACAAAAATGATCATTTCAATAAGGTCTGTGAAAATGATGGCATCGTCCGACACTTCACTATCAGACATACACCACAACAGAATGGAGTGGCAGAACGTATGAACGGGACCTTGCTGGAGAAGGTACGGTGTATGTTGTCCAANAATGCTGGCTTGGGCAAAGAATTTAGGGCTGAGGCAATTACATATGCATGCCACCTCATTAATCGCTTACCATCTGCTGCTATTAATGGCAAGACACCATTTGAAAAATGGTATGGAAAGCCTGCTGTAGATTATGACTCTTGCACGTATTTGGCTCAACTGCATATTATCATGTCATAGAGTCAAAATTGGATCCAAGGGCAAAGAAGGCTATTTTTATGGGGATTACTTCTGGGGTCAAAGGATATCGCTTATGGTGTCCTATGACAAAGAAAGTAAAATTCAGCAGGGATGTTACCTTTGATGAATCTGCTATGGTAGATAAGGTAATAAAAGATGCCAAACAAAATGAGGGTGCTTCTAAGCAGGTGGAGTTTGAGGGAAAATTTATTTTTCCTACACAAGATGCATAGGAGGAAACAATTGAAGATTATCCTCTCGAAGAAGAGCCAGTAGAGAGGGAGATTCCAACTCAGGAACCTCAACAACAACTTGAATCAATAGCAACCAGCAGGGCAAAAAGGACAATAACAAAACCTGTTCGTCTTATAGAGTTGGTTGCTTGTGCCACCTCAATTGTAGCTGATGATGTTCCTACCACTTATAAAGACGCAGTCCAAAGTTCAGAAGAAAATAAGTGGAGGATTCATGAATGATGAAATACAGTCCCTTCATCAGAATCATACATGGAGATTGGCCAATCTCCCGAAGGGAAAGAAAGCAATTGGGTGCAAATGGGTATTTGCAAAGAAAGAAGGATTTCCTAACCAAGAAACAGTTCTTTACAAAGCAAGATCGGTGACCAAAGGATATGCTCAAAAGAAGGGAATTGGTTACAATGAAGTATTTTCTCCAGTTATAAAACATTTCTCCATTAGAATTATGCTGGCTTTGGTAGCACAGTTAGATGTGGAACTAGTTCAAATGGATGTAAAAACTGCGTTTTTACATGGAAACTTGGAGGAGGAAATCTACATAACTCAGCCAGAAGGATTCAAAGTTGCTGGAAAGGAAAATATGGTGTGCAAACTTGAAAAATCGTTATACGGATTGAAACAGTCTTCTAGACAATGGTACAAATGATTTGACAAGTTTATATTGCGGCAAGGGTACAAGAGAAGCAAATACGATCATTGTATGTATTTGCGCAAGCTTAAAGATGGTTCCTTTATATATCTTCTCCTATATGTTGATGATATGTTGATAGCTTCCAAGAATTCGGAAGAAATTGATAAGTTGAAGATTCAACTGAAGAAGGAGTTCGAGATGAAGGATCTGGGTGAGGCAAAGAAAATTCTTGGCATGGAGATAATAAGAGATAGACGTTCAAAGAAACTCTGTTTATCTTAGAAAGAATATTTGAAAAGAGTACTACAACGTTTTGGCATAGATGAAAAGACTAAGCCAGTTAGTACTCCACTTGCTCCCCATTTTAAGCTAAGTACTACTATGTCACCAAAATATGAAGCTGAACGAGAGTATATGTCAAAGGTACCATACGCAAATGCTGTTGGTAGCTTGATGTATGCAATGATCTGTACGAGACCTGACATTTCACAAGTTGTTGGAGTTATTGACAGATATATGCATAATCCAGGAAAGGAACATTGACAAGCTGTGAAGTGGATTCTACAATATATTCATAATACTGTATATGTTGGGTTAGTTTTTGAGCAGGAAAATACTCAATCTGTAGTTAGATATTGTGACTTAGATTTTGCGGGTGATCTAGACAAACGAAGATCAACTACTGGTTATGTGTTTACTTTTGCAAGGGCACCAGTTAGTTGGAAGTCTACTTTGCAGTCAACAGTTGTTTTGTCTACAACAAAGGCAGAGTACATGGCCATTACAGAGGCTGTGAATGAGGCAATTTGGCTTCAGGGATTGCTAAAAGAACTTGGTATTGGACAAAAAAGTATCACAATTTTTTGTGATAGTCAAAGTGCTATTCAATTAGCGAAGAACCAAGTTTATCATGCAAGGACGAAACACATTGATGTTCGGTATCATTTCGTACGAGAAATCATAGAAGAAGGTGGAGTCACGGTGAAGAACATTCATACTACAGAGAATCCTGCTAATATGCTGACAAAAGTGGTGACTGCGGTCAAGTTTCAACATTGTTTGGATTTGATCAACATTGTTGAACACTGAAGATTGAAGATGAATATACAACCAAAATTTGTTATTGAGAGAAAATTGAAGATGTGGAATTTTGCCAGGGTGGAGATTTATTGAGTGGTAGAACTTCCACATCGGTGAAGTACCAATTTTGGTTGGTACTTCACTCTATAAAAGAAGGCCAATTTTTTATGATTTAAATACACCTCTCATTTGCCTTCTTATCTTCTTAAGGCATTTGTATCTTCTCTCTTTAGTATTATTTCACTTGTATTTTTGGAGTGGAATAAAATATTGGTTGTGTCCGAGGAAGTAGGCAAAATTGGCCGAACCTCGTAAATTCTGGTGTTCCGTTTATTCTTGCTTTATTGTCTTATTTATTATTTGGTGGCTCTCATAATTTTTGGTATAGTAGTTGTGACTCATTCACACTATATACATTTGGCTTCCTCAACAGAAACAATCACACTATGTATTAATGCACAGCTTTTACCAGAGATTTTCCTCTAATATGGATTTTCAGTGACTCTTATCTTTATCATTAGTACTAAGTGGTGTATTAGCAGAACAAATTAAGAAGTGAACTTCTCTGAGACTAATTACCTGTTTCTGAAGGAGATCAATAACTGCATCACTGAAATCAGCACCTTCAATGATAGCACCCCCGAGGTCACTACGAGTCAGAACAGATCTAACAAGAACAGCATTAGTGAGATTAGCTTCATTGAGAACCTGCAAAAGAAAGAACAAAATTATCTTAACATTCTGAAATTGAAGTCACTTTGCTAAAATCTATAGCCAGTGTAGTTGTCATTAGTTAAGTTTTTGACTTGGATTTAATTCATAGGCTACAATGTGCATACCATCCGATCCATCAATGTGTCACTCAAATCTGCCCCTGTAGATAACAAAGCAAACGGGAATTAGCTATATATATATATATATATATCTACAGTCTAAACCAGAGTTTTAACTTTGAATCAAAAACTGAATTAGCAATATATTCGGTAAATGTCTTCTACCATGGAGAAAGTTAACTTTGTATATATTGTATCCCTACATCTTTTTACTATTCCACAGAGTTTAGCAAAGTTTATGTTTTCTTAGTACAAGGAGTACCATGGGAGCAGGGGCAGAGCTAGAAGCCTGAATGCGGGTTCGGCTGAACTCAATAATTTTTGCTTAAATAGTGTATTTGTATAAAAAACAATTCATTAAATATGTATAAATATTAAATTTAGAACCTAGTTAGTAACTCTAATAATCGCCGTTCTAAAATCCAGAATCCATAAAAATCCAGAATCCATAAAATTGAAATTCTGGCTCCGCCTCTGCACGGGAGACTATGTTCAAGTTGGCTTGTAAATAATGCTGTGAACTCCTTTGGACTAGACATTCAAGATTAACAAGAAAATCGTAAGGAAAAGAGGTAACCTTTATTCAGTTGTTTGGGACAAAATTTTCTCTTTATTAATTTTGTTAACTCAACAGCAACAAATAAGCCTCAGCCAAGTTGTGGCCACTATTACTTTCTTTATTTTTCCTTAATTTCTTAACTTACTTTTTTGCAAGAGGATTTTTTGCTTATATTTCCGACATATAATTCATACATGTTGCTTCACAATATAGATTTTAAACTTGAATTTATTCCTTTCTAACTTTCCTAATATTCTTTATTATATGAGAAACGTAACAAAGTTTTTTTTTTTTTTTTTTTGGGAGGAGGAATTGGCGCTATATAAGTAATTTTCAATACATTTATTTTACTTTCGGATTAAACAAGTGTCAATTTGATTCTAACATACATTGTTTTTCAATTGCCATTTATTATCAAAATCTGAATATTACAAATAACGTACTTTAATAGATTTCGAATAATGTGCAATATGCACAAATAGTTCAAAAGTTAAATCCTAATCCAAAAAGGAAAAGTTCCTAATTTAAAACAGAAGGGTTTCTCCTTCTTATAAATCGTACCTCAAAAGAAACTCGGGCGGGAGTAAGATAAATTTGGGTAAATACTTACACCTGGTGCTGGTAAGTTTTTAGCATATATTATTTCACTGTTTCTGTTGTATATAATGATTTTATGAATTAATGACAAGTTTTTATCTTGATATTTCTGGTTGAAATTGGGATTGTTTAATTAAGATTTGCTTCAAGTTTCAGATATAAAATTCTGATTTTGGGCTGGCTACTGTAACTTTTTAGTTCATTTACAGTTTTTCTGTGTTTTTCTAGGGTTCCCGTTTCTTGATCGACTGTTCTCCCTTGGATTAAACTAAAGTTTTGATCTTTCTGCTTTTTCTTGTTATAGGAATAACTTTTGCATCAACTCTGAATTGGGTTTTCAAATGAGCGGTTGAGAAGGGAGAATTTAAAAGTAGTAGTACAAAATCCTTATGCTAAAATTTCCCATCTTGTTCAATGCCCATGTTTAAGCGACCAAAGGTATTCGCAATACGTAGTTTTCCAGAAGGTTTTACGCGATTTGCTAAACATGTTATAGAGAAAACTGAGGAAGATATTGATAATGAAGTAGAAATTGAATCTATAGGGTCTCACGAGCCGGATGCTGAGGTTCGGGGAAAGTTAGTGTTTGGTGAAAAGAATGTCATATCCTCCGGAGTTCAAGCTATGAATGTTGAGCCAATTGTTATTTCTGAACAAAAGGCAGATGCAGAATTAGGTATTCATATGCCAGAGGATCTGAAGGATGGTAAAAAAATTGCTCGAACCGAACCTATTGAGTGTGGAAGCACTGAGCATGTAGACTTGATTAAGGTTGTGGATACACATAAGCAGAATGCTCGGGTGGACAATGGAGCTTATCTTCACCTGGTCGACAAGTTGAAATCGGGAGAATGTGATATGACCAAGCTAAAGAGGTGTAAGGTTTACGCAGTTCGTGATTTTCCAAAGGATTTTAAGAATTATGAGGACGTTGACCAGAAATCCCAAGAGGATTATGTGCAGGAATCTGGTGATATCCATGTTGATCATAAATATAAAGAGGATCATGTTAAGGAAACAAATGATGACTCTAATAAACATTTGAAGGTTGATTTTGGATGTCAAGGAGATTTAGTGGATCCTGTTGTCGATGCAATATCATGTGTAGAAGAATATGAGGAACAGGAGCCTGAGGTGACAATTGATTTAGAGGAAGTAATACAATCGGATGTAGATTTGGAGTTGCATGAGGCTTTCGAGGATGAAGAAACCATCGCCCAGTTTGAATGCAGGGAGCATGATAATAACAGTTGTGGGTTTCCAAAAAGACGTAAAATGTATGCAACTCGTGATTTTCCAGATGCATTTAAGATCTTTAAATCGCATAAGGAGGCATCGGGCAAAAATCAGGATCACCGAGCAGCTGACAAATTGGCAGGGAATATTGAAGCAACCTGTGATTCCCAAGATGATGTAGAACGCATGAATAATAATGTTATGCCGGATTCAAGGGCTACACTAAGATGTCCCAGCATGACAAGCAAATCCTACCAATCAGATATTAAATCTCATCAAAACAAAGGCAAAAGCAAAGGCAAAGGCGTAGCTCCAAAGCGAAAACAGAGTGAAAAATCAGCGCCAATAACTGTCATTCTGGCATTGACAGCTCCTACAAAATGTCAATGTAGACCTGGGCAAACTTATTCTAGAACAAAAGCTACAGCAAAGAATGCGTAATCTTGGCTCAGTTTTCTGATGGAATGGAAGTGGCATGCTAAAAGCAGCCAAAGGTAATTCATTAGCATCTTCTTGTGACGCTATTTAAAAAGAATATAACTTTTTCCATCAATAAATAACACTTGCTAGTTCATTTAGTTCTATCTTGTATATTAGGATGTTTTTGCTATGGAAAAAGTACCTGAGAAGTTCGCTTTATAGGCAACTGCTTTCTCAAGATATGCACCATTGAATGTTGAACCACTGAAATCTGATTCCCTCATATCAGCAGATGTGAAATTGGCTCTTCTGTATCAGCAAGTCCAATTGAAAATGAATACTAGTCTGCACTAAGAAAACTTCTTGTTCTATAGTTCTTGTTGAATGACTTTACAATTACAGTTTCTGTTTTCAAATTGCAAGCTTAAGTACTGGTTCCGTAAAAAATTTCACTCTCCCCTTCCAACAAAACGGGGAAAAATATATATTACTCTCTCCATTCCAACTTATATGACACTCTTTCACACCAAATTAGTTTAACTATTCAACTTATAAACGTTCTTGTTATGTTCCTTATCAGTATGACTTTTTACTCCTTTAGGAGTCATTTGGTACGATGGATAAGCAAAAATAATTCTAGATAAACATTTAGTACCGCCTTATCCCTTGTTTGGTTACTAATCATGGATAATTTATCCTAGGACTGGGATAACTTTACCTGGCAGAGGGTGGAAGAATAATCCCAGGGTAAAGCAATAAAATTGACAATCCCAGGATTACTACAACATTACCAAACAGTCAATAAATAATACTAGGATAACTAACCCCGACATACTAATCCCACAATCACTAATCCCAGCATAACTTGTCTTCAAACCAAACGACCCCTTATCATTTTAAGCCATTACTAATAATATAGGAGCAATATTAAATCAAATAAACATCTTATGCTATGTCCAATAAACCTTATCATAAAAAATGAAATGCAGGGAGTATTATTTTTCATTCTATAGGCAGCTTATCTGAAAATAAAAGAAGTATCATCCTCCAGGCAGAGGAAAGATTACCTGAAGTTCTCATTTGTATGAACTGTTTTTCTGCAAATTAACAAGAAAAAACAAAAGAACTATTTCAGGCCCAAAAATTAAAAGCTTGAAAGATTGAAGAAATATTGAAGAAAAGAACTAACTTGAGGTCAGCCGAACCAAATTGAGCAGCTGAACCAATACCAAATTCACCTCTAGTTTCTGCCTCAAACTTATTCAAGTCAGCCATAGCAGTCATGTTTGAGCTAAATGTAATCACTGCAGCTGCTAATGCAGTTGAAACAATGGCTTTCCACTTCTTTACTTCTGTATTGTTTGACCTTTCCATTTGACAGACAATCTTGAATGATTTTTGAGGAGGTTGCAGGGGACTAAGAGCTCCATAACAAGAACTAGAGGAAGAGGAGGAAATGTTGATGGATTTTATGGGAAGTAATGAGATAGAATTATGTGCCATTTTGATGTATTCTGAGCTTAGTTTCTGTCAATGATAATAGTTGAGAACATAGGATTAAGTGAAGGAAGTCAGTGGATGGATTTTTCTTTTTCTTTTGTCCACTTCTTTGAACCATATCTCTTTGGACAAATAGGATTGGCTTTGTTAGTGTACACGTACCCTCTTCTATATTATTTTTATTTACATTTCTATTTTTGGAGAAATAGTTATAGCAGTGAGTCCAGTGACAGGTGGCGATTAATGTTGCACAAATCTATATATTATATATATAATTGTGGGACATAGCCCGGTGATGTGGCAAGCCTCATTGAGCAGGAAACCCAATTATCTTTTTTGTGAATTATTTGGCTTTTATCCTACTTTTGCCTATTTTTACAAGTCCAAACGTCACTTCTT